TGCAGTTTGAGATGTAACAGCAAAACTAGCAGATTTCTTTTTCCTTCTTCACAATTTCTGAGAGAAGATTCATTCTTTTTGTAATTTTTAGCAACCTCAACATACAATTATTTTCTTATTAAAGGAGCCACTTCTGTCACTTCAGATGGAGCCAGCATGTGTTGTTGCAGGATCAGTGGCATTGAAGGATGAGGGAGGAAGGTGGCTTTCAAAACCTAGACACAATTTCATCAAATTCCCTATTTAGGCCTGCCTTCCCCAGAGATTAGGTGGCTAATTCTCCATAGCACTTCTCCATACACAGTCCTCTGAGCAGGGTCCAGGTGCTACCACTCCTGTCAAATCAAGTCTTCAGTGTCATCCTCCAGTGTCACTTGTCCTGCAGCAACATGATGGCCCCACCCACAAGGTTAGCCTGGGTGCTGAGGAAAAGTTATATGGGAACTTCCTGTTTCTGAAGTACTAGCAATGATCAAGGATGGTAGATTCCTCTTTGTCGCCTCCCCAGTAGAATGATCAGACCTGGCCAACATGGAAGTGGGCAGCTATAGTGTAGTCCCTGAAGCTGCCCCTTTCTCAGCATCAGAGGCCCCTACCCTAAGCAGGTGACCTGAAATCTTGAAACTTATCTTCTTTCAGGTTGTTAAAATCCCATATCAGACCTGATCTTCATGTGTGAGAACGAGGAGCTTTGGATGCAGGGAGGAAAATCTCAAGTCACTTAGGTAAGTGGGCACTGTTAAGAGGAAGAAGTAGAAGATTTCAGTTGGTGAGTGGGAGGTCAGCTCTTTTGCCATGTCTTCCATTAAGGATGTGGGCCTCTGGTGGTTATTACATGAGATGAGAATTTCTCCCATAAAAGGACTTTTCCACAGCTGCTTTTCATGGCCTACTTTTGAGAACTAGCCCTGTCTCACTTCCTTTTCCTCAGGAACTGATTGCTGCCCGCTTCAGCTGGAATGAGCATTCTAGGATGCCCTCTCCTTCCCAGGCCTTTCAACTTTCCCTCTATCCAGTTGTCATCAACTCCCCTCCTTAGGCATTCAAACATTTATAGATGGATGCTTTTTCAATCTATGACTTCTGTTTCTACTACATCCTTGTTTCATCTTGAGAAAACCCCCAAACTATTTTTGCCTTGTGTTTTACAATCTGATACCACCTTCCCCAAATTTCAACTTCTTTCAAGGCTAACCTTTAAATGGCCCCATCATTTTCTTCTCTTTGTTCTTCCTTGTCAAAGGGATAGAGTATTTGTTCTGATTGTTGTTAGAGGAAAAACAATTTATATAGTTTGAGCTGTATTTAACAACCTTGATAAATTATTCTAATAATTTATCTATGGATCCTTTGGATTTGCTATGTATGTCCTATCTACAGAGATTGAAAGTTATTCATTCATTTCCAGCCATCGCTCCTTTTGCTTTTTCTTGCTTTATCACACTGCCTCACATGTTCAGTATTATGTTGAACAGATGTGGGCTTAACAAGCATGCTTGTCTCTTTCATAGTCACAGCAGTGAAGATTTTCCCATGTCACCATTAAGGTTTTTTAAAATATTTTTTAGTTATACATGGACACAATATCTTTATTTTGTTTATTTATTTTTATGTAGTGCTGAGGATCAAACCCAGTGTCTCTCACATGTGAGGTGAGTGCTCTACCTCTGAGCCACAACCCCAGCCCCACCATTAAGTTTTACTATAGTTTTTTGATTGTTTGCATTGGAGTTTGAACCCAGGGTGTTCTACCAGTGTGCTATATCCCCAGCCCTTTTTATTTTTTATTTTGAGACAGGGTCTCACTAAGTTGATGAAGCTGGCCCACAAATTGTGATCCCTCTGTCTCATCTTCCCAAGTAGCTAGGATTACAGGCATATGCCACCACACCTAGGCGTGACTACATTTTTTTAAAAAATACTCTTTATGTATGAAAGAGGAGCTTTGGATGAAGGGAAGAAAATATTAAGTTACTTAGGTGGCATAAGGAGTCCTGCTATTATGTATAATTGTAATGCACCAGTAAAAATATTTTTGGGGTGTAGTGAGGATTGAACTCAGGGGCACTGAACCACTGAACCCCATCCCAGCCCTATTTTGTATTTTATTTAGAGACAGGGTCTCACTGAGTTGCTTAGTGCCTCACTTTTTGCTGAGACTGGCTTTGAACTCATGATCCTCTAGCCTTAGCCTCCCAAGATGCTGGGATTACAGGTGTGCACCACCCCATGCCTGGCAAAACATAAAATATTTTTAAAACTGAAAAATACTACCACCAGACTAATTATGTTCCTAGTTTGCTAAATGTTTATATTGTGAATGGATTTCAAATTTTATGAAATCCCTTTTTTTCTTTATGGATCTTTACATTGACTATGTTATCAAATTTATTGTCATAAATCTTTTTTCATAATTCCAATATTATCCCTTTTTTGGAGGGCATACTAGGGATTGAACCTAGGAGTGCTTTACCACTGAGTTATATCCCCAGCCCTTCGTATGTTTGTGTGTGTAGTGCTAGGGATTGAACCCAGGGCCTTGTGCATGCGAGGCAAGCACTCTTATCAACTGAGCTATATTCCCAACCCTCCCCATCCCTTTTTAAGTTTTTATTTTATAACAGGATCTCACTCAGTTGCTTAGGGCCTCACAATTTTGCTGAGGCTGGCTTTGAACTTGCAATCATTCTTTCTCAGCCTCTTGAATCCCTTTAAATGTTTATACTATACTGAAGTCCACTGTATCAAGGACATTTGAAAATTTGTTTACTTTTTTTTTCCTGACTGGAATTTGGGATTTTATTAATCTCTTCAAAGAACTAGCTTTGATTTTTCTCTATTATTTATCTACTAGGGGGAATGAAAACAAATAAGATGAACTGGGTATGGTGGCACACACCTGTAATTCCAGCAACTCAGGAGGCTGAGGCAGGAGGATCATAAGTTTGAGGCCAGCCTCAGCAACTCAGCAAGACCCTCATAACTTAGCAACACCCTGTCTCAAAATAAAAGTGGCTGGAGTATATCTCAGTAGTAAAGCACCTTTATGTTCACAATACCCTCAGTACAAATAAACAAAAGAAAGAAAAGAAAATGAAACCAATATGTTGGAAAAGACTCATAAGAAGTGCTATACATAGGTAGTGTCACACCCATTTTGTCACTTACCTTAACTGCCTTTCACTCCACTATATCCACCACCCTCTCTCACACAGTGCCTCACACCACTCCACTTATTCCACTTTGTTTGCATCACCAACATTCATTCTGTCCACTCAGTCTTATCTCCAAAACATGACCCGTATGCACTGGAACTTGCTGTTCCTTCTCCAGTACCTCCCTCCACTGGGTATTCCCCCCCCCCGGCCCCATTATTTCATATTGACCAAGACCAAGCCCCTCATTATACCCCATTCAACCACACTTGGCTTATTATCCTTCTCTCTCTCTTTCCCCTCATTTCAGCCCATTTATTCACATACTGCAGTCCATCCCCATCGCTTTCCCTCTAGGCCTGTGTCTCATTTACCTTGATTCATCAGTTATCGGGTTGTTATTTGTATCCCAGGAGGCAGGAATCCAATATTCATGGGAAATGGTGAGATCCAACTCTCCTCCATCTCTTTAGTAAAACCCCAGGAAGATACTCCACCATTAGGAAGATGCCTTTGTTTCCAGGGCCTTAGGGAATCTTCTAGCAGACTTCATCAGGCGCAAGCCAGTCAGCCCTATATTTCCTCTCCCTGCAAGGCACTGAATGGGTTATGTCTAACTTAGAGTTCAATGGGGAAAAAAATGTGGGGGAGTCCAAGGTTTATTTTCTTACAACATACTTCATGGGAAAAAGAAGACCAGGAGGGCATAGACTGTCTCAAGTCTAACTTATCCACCTATATTAACAAACTCAAACCTTGCCCATCCCCAGATTTTACATACCTTAGCTCGCCCACTTCCACCAAAGATGGCCCTTGTGAGTAACTACATTGTCATGAGGACACAACTACTGTAATTCACAAGCAGGACCTCTTGTTCTAGAGCAAACATCCTGTGATGTGGGTTTGGGTCATGGTCATTCAGACCGTGGGACTCAATCTATCTTTCACCCCAGGAAATATGTGCCATTAGCAGCAGTGTGACCATAGGAGCAGTTACACAACGTCTCTGTGGATTTTTTTTAAATTTTTTTTTAGTTGCAGATGGACAGCATGCCTTTATTTATTTTTATATGGTGCTGAGTATTGAACCCAGTGCCTCACGCATGCTAGGCAAGTACTCTGCCACTGAGCTACAGCCCAAGCCCTCTGTAGATCTTTTATACCTCTTGTTAAAGTAGTGTGTGTGTGTGTGTGTGTGTGTGTGTGTGTGTGTGTGTGTGTGTGTGTGTGTCAGGAATGGGGGTGCTTGTCTGTAATCCCAGCGGCTCAGGATGCTGAGGCAGGAGGGTCACAAGTTCAAAGCCAGCCTCAGCAAAAAGTGAGGCGCTAAGCTAAATAAAATAAAAAATAGGACTTGGGATGTGGCTCAGTGGTTGAGTGCCCCTGAGTTTTATCCCTGGTACCCCAAAATTTTAAAAAAGTATGTGTGGGAGGCAATTTAAATCATTTCAAGATATGGAAAGACTGTGGTGAGCATTAACACAGAACCTTTTCACAGATGTCACTGTGCATACTAAAGAAGAAATGTGTTCCAATCTCAATTACTTTAGGTTTAGGTAGTATGGTCTCAGCTGGCCTGAGAATCAATTATTTGGCACCCTCAGGAAAATAATGCTTATGTGCTTTAGGAATTTAATATTGTTCTGTCTGATTATTCTGTTTATCCACTCAAAACAACTGAATTTCACGGCTGGGAGCATAGATCAGTTAGAGCACTTGTCACATCATGCTTGTGGCCCTAGGTTTCACCTGCAATGTCACAAAAAGAAATTCCACATTGAGCTTATCGATATTAAATGTCAATAAGCTATGTCTTGACTCCAACTTCATTACAACAGAGCAAAATTATGCTTTTTAAAATTTTATTTGTTCATTGAAAAGGCAGTACATCCACATAATACAATTTTCTAAAACTATGAAAGGATACACAGCTATCTCCCTCCCAGTTCCCTGCCCTCAGCACCCACTGCCCCTTCCCCAAGGGAATCAAGGTTATCAGCATCTTGTATCTCTTTTCAGAAATGGTTTGTGTATATACAATTATGTACTTACCATTTTCCCTCTTTATATACACATCGTGACATACTATGCTGCACCTTGCTTTTCTTCCCTAATAATTTGGAGGTTACTCCACATCGGTACATAAATGATATCCAAGTTTCTTTATCATTTTTTTTTCTACTTAGGAATCTGTTGTACAAATACATCACAATTTCAGGAAGCAGAATCTGGGGATTTCATTTGGACAGCTTCCAATATTTTCACAAACAGTGCATCAACAAACACCTCTGTGTGTTCATCATTTTGACAATCTTGAAGTTGAGTTGATGTCTTGGAAAACATTTGTGGTTTTGATTTTCTGTGAAATATTCTCTTTGAATGAAAAGTTTTTCCTGGACTTGCTATTCTCTGGAGGTTCATGTTGGGAAGATACCAGGAATATATTCTAGGAAGATTAATTTTTCTAACAAATGAGCTCCACACACACACATTTGTTAGTTCTTTCACTTTACTTTTCCCAAGTCACTAAACAGAAGATACTATGGGTTCTTCACAAGGAAAAGTCCCTTCTTTTCTCCAAGGTGCCCACAACTATTCCTCCTATCAGTACAGGCTACTTCCTGTAAATAAGGCTTGTCTGAGTATCTCCTTGTTGAGGCCCCTGCCTGTTTCTCCTCAGATGCCAAATAGTCTAGGAAGCCTCCTACCTGCTCATGAACTCTGTTACCATGGTTACAGCTGCCTGTGGTGCTGTACCTTGGAGTGTATCACGACCCTCTGCTAAGAGTCCTAACCAATGCTGCCTCTCATCTGTGGCCCTGCACTGGGTCTTGGTTTTCTCTGCCTCTGGAGGCCTCTGGTAGCAGTTGTCTCCTAATTTTATCACATATGGAGCTCACACTTTTGCTTCTTTTTCTCCTGTTGCTCTTGGGTGAAAACTGAGACGAAAAGAAGAAAGGCCATCTTTACTCCCTGTGTTTAAACCAGAAGTCAGAAGTACATTTAAAATATTAAATTAATACAACTTTCCTTTGGGGTACCTAACAGACACTCACTTTACTCCTTAGTGTGCCATGAGCTTTGACTTCCGGGTCTGGCCTCTTCCGTGGGCCTTTTTTCCTGTATGGGTTCTCTGATGTACAATAAGGTTAGATTTTTGGGTAAAGGCTTTCCCACACTCTGTACACTTATAGGGCTTCTCTCCAGTGTGAGTCCTTTGATGGACAGTGAATGTTGACTTTTCCCTGAAGGCTTTGCCGCACTCTGTGCATGCATAGGGTTTCTCTCCTGTGTGTGTTCGCTGATGGATTATGAGCTGGGACTTCTGGCTAAAAGCTTTCCAACATACAGGACATTCATAGGGTTTTTCTCCTGTATGAATTCTTTGATGTATAATGAGCTTTGACTTTTCTCGAAAGGCTTTGCCACACTCATTACATTTATAGGGTTTTTCTTCTGTATGAGTTCGTTGGTGTATAATAAGATAGGACTTCTGGGAAAATGCCTTTTCACATTCATTGCATTCATAGGGCTTTTCCCCTGTGTGACCTCTCTGATGTAGCATGAGATAGGACTTCTGGGAGAAGGCTTTCTCACATTCATTACACTCAAAGGGTTTCTCTCCAGAGTGAGTTCTCTGATGCACACCCAGATTTGACTTTTGGGTAAAGGTTTTTCCACACACGTCACATTCATAGGGCTTCTCTCCTGTATGTGTCCTCTGATGTACAATGAGGGTCGACTTCTCATTGAAAGACTTCCCACATTCAGTACATTTATGGGGCTTCTCTCCTGTGTGAGTTCTCTGGTGCGTAATGAGGGTGGACTTGTCACTGAATGTTTTCTTGCATTCATGGCATTCATGGGGTTTTTTCCCTGTGTGAGTGCTGTGGTGTATAATCAGATCAAGCTTCTGGATGAAAGATTCCCCACATTTAGTGCATTCATAGGTTTTCTCTCCTGTGTGGGTTTTCTGATGAACGATAAGGTTTGACTTCTGAGTGAAGGCTTTTCCACATTCATTGCATTCATAAGGTTTCTCTCCTGTATGAGTCCTGTAATGTATAATGACAGTTGACTTTTCTCTGAAGGCTTTCCCACACTCAGGACACTCAAAGGGTCTCTCTCCTGTATGAGTTCTGAGGTGTATAATTAGCTGAGATTTTTGGCTAAAAGCTTTTCCACATTCGGTGCATGCAAATGGTTTCTCCCCTGTATGAGTCCTCCAGTGGACAATGAGGTGTGACTTCTTGCTGAAGGTTTTCCGACATGCAGTACATTCAAATGGTTTCTCTCCATTTTTAATTCTCTGATGAAGACTAAGACCTTTCTTTCGCCTGAGGACTTTCCCGCATTCTTTATATCCATAGGGCTTCACTACAGGATTTGATTTCTCAAACTCGGTATGGAAGAATAATTTTGCACCCCCATTATCATGTTTCTTTTCCACAGCACTTCTAAATAAGTCTACATTATCTATCATATCATTTCCAAATGTTTCAAGTTTATGAGGTCTTTGTATTGGAATACCAAGACTTGTACTCAGATGAAGAGTATTTCCAAATTCATTACAGTCATGGCCATTCTTGGTAGTCATTATTTTCTTGTCAGGGAATCCAACTTGCATCAAGAGACATTGATCTTGGTCATCCTGATGCTGGCTCTCAATCTTTTCAACAACTTGGCAGACTTCTAGAAAGAAGTACAATAAATCATCTTGATACTCTGAAATTAGGGAATGGACCTTCTTTAGAAATACCCTGCTATATGACACTCTTACCTCATTTTAGCAAAGTCCCTAGCCTAGGAAAAAATCTTTTACTAAACTTCCACCTACTATCTTTTTTGTTGCCAATATCCATCTTAACCCTGACACCTCAGTTTCTTGCCTCAACTTTTACATCAGCTCTGGGGACATTATGGTCATGTGGACTGTACCTGACTTATCCTGTTTCCACCTAGGAAGAAATGCAACAGTGCAATTCCTAGACTCAAGTCTTACAACAACACCAAATTCACATTCTCAGTGAATGACAGAAAAATCTTGAATAATTAGCCTGAAAAAAAAGCAAAACTCTAAAAAATCATTGCCCAATTTGGGTTTGCCAGTATATCCATTCAAGCTTGTATTCACAGTCCTTCAACACAATTATCTCTACTCCTGTGTGAGCTACTGCCTCTTAAAATACTTACTATTAATGCCAAATCCTTTCTCATGTTCCATACCCACACAACCCTGCTGTCCTCCATATTTTGCTATATTCAGAATCTAGATAACTTTCAAGAGGCAATTCTGTCTTTTCAAAAATTTTACTCCGATTCTTCTATATAACATAAATTTTTAATAATTTCTAATGTATTTGGTTATCTGTACCACTCATTTAGGTAGTTAAAACTTCAAAGCCTTGCCTATATTTTCATATTTCATCAACTGCAAGATGCACAGTATTTCATATTTTAACGTGTCTAAACTCAGATAACCCAAGCTTGCAAGCAATAATTAATTACTGGCAATGTTTCTTTCTTAGTCATGTGTCTTAACATTAGTGGTATCTTGAAATCACTAAAATATTGTGATTTTTGCATACCTATATATTTTTAAATCATGTTTTGTAACTTACTTTTTTCTTTACACTTTTCCCAAAAAACATGAAAATTTTCAAGCATGGAAAAAAGCTGAAAGAGTACTATAACTGCTCATATTACTGCTCAGATTCTATAATGCTAACACTTTGTCATAATAGTCATGGATTTTAAAATAGTTCATGTAGCTGTGGTTCTCCTTCCTATGACTTCCTTTCTTTGGATAGCAAAGCACTAGTTTTTAGCCAGGGATTAATATAAAATCACAGAAGAGCCCTTTGTAAAATGTACTCACAAGGACCCAAGCTTCACCCAAGGTCTGCAGCATCTGAACCTCCTTATGCGTTCAGAAGCAGAATGCCATCATGGGCTTAAAACAGACTTTCTCTGAAGGGCTGGGGTTGTGGCTCAGTGGTGGAGCCCTTGGCTAGCATGCATGAGGCACTGGGTTCAATCTTCAGCACCACATAAAAATAAATAAATAAAAACAAAAGTGTTTAAAAAAACAGATTTCCTCTGAAATTAAAGGCAACTTCCTGATAACTTGTTTGTCTCTAAGATTCAAAACAGTCTCCTTTGATATTAAAGCTCCAAATTGTTATAACTTCTGAACTTCCTCATACATAAAATAAAAACTCCCTCCAGCTGATGTCAGATTCTCTGGCTAACTAAATCTGCAGATATATGTTTCCTGCCTTTTGTCCCACTTTGCCTCTTATAAAAGCTTTCCTTACCCTTGAGTTTTCTGAAAATGGAGATTTGAGATAGAAAATGTCTCTTCCTTCAATGTTGGCTATTTACTCGCCAGCATGACTCTAAGCATTTGTGGAGCAGTGAACTGACAACAAGGATCATCCCTTGAGCAACATAGCTCAAGCTTGCAGTGATCCATAAGGATCCATAAGGAGGAGGGAGCTCGACCACTCAAGACTTGCCAAACCTACAGTAAGAATTTCAAGGAAAATCCCAGAAGCCACCTAGAGACACTTTTATATCCTGGGATTCATGCCCCCCACAACCCCCCAACTCACATTCTCCCACATATCTTGCTATAGCCTCAAGCACTAAAAATTATTTGTTGGTAAGGGAAAAAAAGGTTAGTTTGGCAAATGCCAGGTTCCCATTGGTTGTCCTCATCAGGGTGCACACAGAGAACTTTATTTTCGCTCTTTGAGTCTTTGGACCTTGAGTGAGTCATTTTGTGTTGACGCTTAGATAAGCCATTTGGTTGCAGGGTATTGGTTGACAAGGTTAAATTTGAAAGATGAAAATTTCCCAGCAATTCTATTGGTTTGTTTGGAGAGCTCTTTTAGGTTGGGTTTTGATTTGGAAAAAGATTATAGCATTGCTTATATATCTAAAAATGCATGCTGAGTTAATGTAACTGTTTTATATATTGGTTACTTGGTGATTGGCTTAACAGGCTAACACTGATGTCTGCAGCAACATATTAATCTACTAAAATAGGGAATTCCATTTCAGAAGAGCATATGCAATTCCTGGGTTGGAAGGAATTATGGGCAGCTCTTTTGGAAGGTGCATATAACGAAGATCCTGATCACCTTGAGGGATGTGTAGAAGGGCATAGGCAGCCAGAGCAAGATGGTGAGTGAGAAGACTGGGGGCAGGGCCAGAACAAAAGAGCAGGAAGAGAGTCTTCCAATGAGATCAACTTCCTGCTTGACGAAAGTGCTCCTGGACACAAGTGGGGGATCCATTCAGACAGATACTTCTGTAATCATGTTCCTAAGCAGGAGATCCAAAAGAAAAAAATAAAGCAGACATGTGGACAGAGGGGGCAGTAATCAGAAATAGTGAGGGGTGCATGGATAGAGGAAGAGACAGGGAAAGGAGGAAATTCGAGAGACCATAAAAAGAACTGGCCAAAACTCCCCCACCAGATTCCCAGTTCTGGGGCCACTTTTCTTCAGAGAAGTCTATCTGTATCTCTGTCTCCTCTACTTCTTGCTTGCTTCTTCTGTGTCCTTTTCTTTGCTGAATGGAGACAATGAACCCAGCACCCCTAGACAGCAAGAACATCTATACCTTTAACGGCCCCATTCACCCCTAGGTGTTTAGGAGCTTTTTTCCAAGTACACTTTACTGACCCAAAACATTTCCCAAGCTCCTTGTATCACTCACCAGATAAGCCTCTATCAAAATCTATCCAAACCGGGCATGGTGGCACATGCCTGTAATCCCAGCAGCTGGAGAAGCTGAGGCAGGAGGATCACAAGTTCAAAGCCAGCCTCAGCAGAAGCAAGGTGCTAAACAACTCGATGAGACCCTGTCTCTAAATACAAAGTAGAGCTGGGGATGTGGCTCATTGGTCTAGTGCCCAGAATTCAATCCCTGGTACCCCCATCCAAAAAAAGATCCACTTTAATTTGAACTCATGAGTTTACTTTTTAAAATTCTGCATGCTTAAGTTATAAATTTTGTTTTGATTAAAGGTTTTTTAATTTTATCTAAGGGTCCCTCCACCCCAGTAAGAAATTGGTTATTCCAGTTTGTTGGTCTGAGTCTTTGAGATGTAAATTTTCTACCTGGCCTCAACTGAAAATGCAAAATTAAGATTTGCAGACTGCTTAAAGCTATATCAGATAACAGTCAGACTTTTAAAATGGCAAATATAAATTTTAAATTTTGAGATTTTCTTGTGTGCACCTGCTTATATATTATTTATTTGCATGGTACTGAAGTGGCTTATAGATAAGTAACATAATTTATAACCTATAAGTTACCCCAAATCCTTTTGATTCACACTTTAGTAAATCTGTGACAAGTTAATTTGAACTTATTGATAGTAAGGCTTTTGTTAAGATTTGGATATGAGTTGTCTTCCAAAAGGTCCTCTGTTAATGCAGGAATATTCAGAGAAGAAATGTTTAGATTAGAATAGCTGTAACCTAATTTGAATGGACTAACTTCCTGGTAACCATGGGAAAGCGGGGCATGGCTGGAGTGGGTGCATTAGTTAGGGCATGCCCTGGAAGAGTTCATCTTCCCTTAAGCCCCTTCCTTTGCTCTCTCTGTATTCTGGCCATCATGAGAAGAGCAGTATTCCTCAACCAATCTCTTCAACCATGCCTCATCATGGTCCCAGAGCAATGGAGTCAGTCCACTATGAACTGAACCTCTGATACTATGAGCCAGGTATTTTGGTTATAGCAATGAAAACCTAACACACACAGAAGTACATACCAAAAACTGGGGTTGTTGCTGTAAGTAACATGACCATGTGATTCAAAAGCCTTTGGAACTTGTTTGTAGAATAAATTTAGAAACATTTGAAGATGCAGGCTTGAGAATGTTTACTCTAACATTATATATTAGTCATATGTAACTTGCTTTTGCTTTTTACAGAGGCTCACAGCTAAGAGCTTTTGAATGGACCAATTGCTTGGAAACTGTGGGCAGATGGTGTGTGGCTGGGATGGGGTGGTCAGTGGGGGTATGCCCTGGAAGAGTTTATCTTCCCTGAAGCCTCATCCCCTTGCTCTCTCTGCTTCCTAGCTGCCATGAGCCAAACAGCTTTCCTCTGGCTGGCCCCTTCTGCCATGACGTTCTGCCTCACATCGCCCAGATCATGGAGTGGACTGACCATGAAACTGTGAACCAAAATAAAAGTTGTTACTGACAAGTATTTAAGTCACAGTGACAAAAAGCTAACTAACATAGATGTCTTTAAAATCTGATAAATCATTTTTTTCTGGCCTCCTAATCAGTTGGGATATTTGTCTAAGGTTTTTTTTTAATCCTTTGTTTTGCTGTAAATCCATTAATGAAAGCTTTTCTAAGTAGAAGTGATGATTGACCAAAAATGTTTATGTGACCTAATGTCAACACTCCGACAAAAACTGGAAGAGCTTATCTGCTTCTTTGTAATAAATGAGCTATGCTATTTTCCTATCCTTTGCTTAGATTGAATTCTTTTAAAATGCAGATTTTTAAATAGTTTTCTTTTTATAAGGAAACCCTGAATTAAGAATTTGAAATCTTAGGGTTTTCATACCTCAGAAATTTTGTTTTCTTTTGCTAAATATGGAACCCCTTTATCTCTGTATGATATCCATGGTTTATCTAAAATATTGATCAATAGATTTGAA